CTTCCCAGCTCTCTCGAACCCTCCTTCGACCCCTCAACTTGAGGGATAAGCTCTTGTCTACCTAGCTCCAAGAGCAATTCCCTAGCTTGTGCCACACTGTCAAACCCCGCTGCAGTTCCATGGTCGATAATAACCTTGTATTCACACGTAGGTGAGGTGGTATGTGTATTAACGAATAAAGGTAACCCACCATCCATTCCGCACCAGACTCCCACATCTCCGTGACCATCCGTTTGCGTGAACTTCCATTGGGGAGCTCGGACAGAGTAAATGCGCAGAGAGCTAACGATTGTTCAGGTATAGGCGGTCGAGTGTTCTACATACCCCCCAAGCATGAGTAAAGCTCACCATGGTGGCGACGAACCCCGTGGGATAGGCCAGTATATGCGCTCTCACCTTTCCCCAGAAATCCTGGTAAAGTACCTCGCATTCACCAATGTCCGTCCCCTTGACCAGTCGTCTTGCCAGCTCAGTTAAACTACGTCTAGAATCGAGTAGCATATACTTTTTGAGCGTAGACGCTGTCCATGACTGCCCATGGTCCAAAGTAGCCCCCTTTTCCGAATCTTCTAGTGCAGATGCTGGAGGTGAAGGTGCTGGGATCGAGGGGGTGGACGATGGCCCGACGCGTAAGTGATGAGGAGATGCCGAGATGGGTGTCCAGGACGTGGGGTTGGTGTTTTCATCAACTTGGTCAGACGCCTCTGGTTTGACTTCCGGGGCGGGAATCGGTTCGCGGAATGCTATTAAAGCGGCCCTACAACAAGATACCATCAATACCAGAGAATACAATGGTGTACAAATACGATACATACCATAGCCCCTGACCGGATTTACCACCAAAGTCCACCACGGTCTCTATTCGATCGTTGCCCTTTCCAGGGCCAGACATCCGTCTTGATATTTCCTGAAATACATTGGCTGTAGCGGCATAATGAGCTGGTATTGCAATGGCAGTAAACGCTAGTCCTTCACGGGGGCCAAGCTTAACCACTGTTTTGTAGTTTCCTAAACGAGAGCAATATCATTGTTCAATAAAGCCCATAAAACAGGGTCTCTGATTCGTCAGACCTTTGGTGCTGAACGAGAGCGACGGCGCCGTACTCGATAGCTGCCATTCGGGTTTGAGACCTGATGAACGGGTACCCTCTGGTTGACGAGGTAAATTTGACGGTCCTGAGCTCGAGGTCGCAGGCTGGGTATTTCGTGGGGTGGGGTAAAGGAAGAGCCGTTTAGCGTCTGAGCGCAACTGGTGTTTGTCCGACTCTGCAAACGTGAGCAGGAACTGAGTTGAATGCCGGGCTAACCCACCTTCAATAACTCTTCCAACGGCATGTTCGAGCTCCCACGGCAAGACCACCATGCCAATATGTTTTGTCCCATAGACCGCCGCGGGGGATCGTCGCTCTTCCCGTGGACCATCCCAATACGAAGGCTCTTGCGCTTCTCCTCCTCTTTCGGCAATTTCGTACCCCTCATATTCAGAAGGGATGTTACTAAAGCCGTCGGCCTCTTCGACTTGAAGCTCGGGACGTTCTACATAATGTTTTGAGCCATGGCGAAATTTGCGAAGCAGAGACAAATCCGTGTCGTGAAGCAATTGTCTGAGGGCAGGGTCTAGTTGCAACGGCGCATTCGGCGCATGCTGTGCATTTATAGCATTCTGTCTCAGTCTCGTCAGCGTCGCCCGAAAACTCATCTTTCTGGTGGATGGAAGCCGAGGACTGAGATGATCGGGGGCAGTCACGTGCCTCGCCGTGGCGCTTATAATCATGTAATCGACTGTCCCACGATTTTGTTTCCCTCGTTCGACCGAGCTCCCAGCCTTCAAACAACTTCCACCACCGTAATCAACATGGGTTTCTCTACTCACGTCCGTCGCGGCCATCCTAGTGGGTGTCGCTTGCTGCACCCGACATGCATGAGAGTGGCTAACCTCTGACTTTAGTTACTTTTGGGCTCTTGATATTCTTTGGAATTATCGATGTATGTTGTGTATGCATATCTCACAGCAATTCTAACCATAGACTACAGGGGGCTATCGCGACATGGCTCACGGCGCGGTACAGGCAGCATCACAACTGGCTCAATGCTTCTGTCCGCGACCGAACCCACCTTCTTCTGTTCACTAGCTGGTGGACCGTACTGCTCTCAGGCAAGCCACTTTACGGCCCGTTGGGGCGTTGTTACTGTGCTGACGTCACTCTACAGCGATTATATTGGTGCTTTTCATGCGTTCAGCAAGCAGCAAATTGGCCAGCATACTTGTTCACTTAATCTTCCTCGGTAAGCATCCATATTAATGGATTCACACCTTACTAACCTCCTGTCGTGCAGGAATCACTTGGGTATTCTGGACGGCGGGTGCCGCGTCCCTAACGGCCAGCATGGGTGGTGGTATCAATTGCTCGTACGTCATGGTGTATTATGTCATCATTCTGTATTCATTCGATAACGTTAAACTTTCAGGCGCGTCGCGGAAGAAGTTGTCTACTGCAACCAATTGAATGCATTGATGGGGTTCGCCTGGGTGGAATGGTGAGCTTCAAATCCCTTGTTTGCCTTGCAACCAACTAAAAATACCTTTAGGGTTGTGACAACTTTTGCCATTTTCGTGGTCATTATTTGTGCCGTCCGTTCGGCACGCCGTGGTGACGGAACTCGTGGTGCGCTCGTTGTCGACTAACACCAAACTCGAATCCACACTATGGACCCTTGTGAATCCCTCTCGAAACCACCTTTTTTTTTATTTTCCGCCTTCCGTTTTATTCAACTTCATTGGTGTCTCCTACGACCTGTTGTTAATTAGTGTATGGATATAGTGTTACAGTAGAATGTAGCCGCATTTTCATCACCAAACAACCCAGCTCTAATGTGAAGTGCCCTCCTACAGCGAGCCCAAAAGCCGTTACTAATTCCTTGTTTTGAATGGTTTATTGTCACTTTATCTGTCTGCACATCTGTCTGCCCAACGCTTTTGAATCCATCTGGGCTCAGATTTTATCAACGGCATGAACAACTAAACGTCCGAATGCCTATGAATTGTGTGATCCAGTTAACACCATAAAAGTGACAAGGGTGTGTTTCAGCACTCTCGATAAGGCACGTGCGTCCGATAAGTTAAAAACCAGATCAGGTACAGTAATCAAGCTCAAAAAGGAATACGTTGAGCAAGAATTAAGCTCGCACCCCTTGCTTACGTAGTTATTACGTACATATAGAAGGCAAGAATGATAACCATTTCACCATCAACGTGCTGCTCAAGATATGCCTAGTATGGACAAAAATAATAATACGCTTCAAATAGCCTAATGTCGTCATAGTTCTTGAATAATAGGTGCTTGGCATGGATCGCTAAGTTCAAATATTTCCCAGGGGGCTCGGATACCGGCGTGCCGGGCTTGGGATTCGTGTTGCAAAGTAATCCTCGCATTTCGAATAAGAATTCCATTTGTAGCATCACCTGCGGACACCCACCACACCATATCCAACCCTACCCAGTCCTCATGGTATGCACCATTGTTCCCCTTGAGGTTTAGTTTCGACCACCATGTATAATCAACAGACACAAAGGTTTCCGTCGGATCGACATCTCGACATCTGGGACCTCATTCTCCAACACCTCTTTACGCTTGAGCATGGCCGGAAATCCAGCTTTGTCCCTCTGCTCACTGTCAGCCGACAGATGTCAGCTATAGCTGTTTCTCGTATTTGGGCTGATCTCGATAGTCTGTATCCGCTGCTTGCCCTTTTCTACGATCGGAGCGGCAGCTATCATGAATGGGAATGGAATGCAATTGCCCAGACTACAGTAGGCTGACGATACTCTTGTTGATTTTCTTGGATTAATGGCCGTTCGCATATAGCATTGCCTCAGCACACAAGGCATGGGCACCGGCGAGCTCCGAACCGGCCCTGCCAACTGGTGCCGGTTTGAGCACTACGCCGCCCATGTGCATACCATTGTAATAAAAGTTACGGGGTCGTACCTTAATTGGGTGTTCTTATTACCCCTGAAAAAATTGGCGGGGACTCGCCACCGCGAACAAATCATTATTGATGGGCACACACTCAATTATTTCCCCCCTCTCTTGCCCAACCTTGCCTCTCTCACTTTTGAGCTACAGTACTCGCAGAATTTAGACCATGCGATTGCTGTGCTTACCGCTCCCAGCACTCAACTGCTTGGGGTGGAAGCCTTGGCCGGTCTACTGATGCTTATGCCCCCAACTCTCCGCCATCTCGAGATCAGTTGGACCAATAACTCTATATCAGACTTGTTCACGAATATACTCGATCGCTTTACAGCAGGTCTCGGAAACGCTGCCTCTCCCGCCGATTTTGAATCGGGGCTTATTGGGTCTGACTACGGTTTTACCAACACTCTTCCTGGCGACTATCTTACTGCCGTGCCACGCTCGTCATCACTTGTCAGCTTCACGGGATTCAGCGCGTCTGCTCAGATGATCGAGGTGCTGTCTCTGCTTCCTTCTTTGGCGAGGGTCGGTCTGTACCGAATGCCCGGTCATAAGCCTATTTCTTTTGCCCATGAATACCTACCCCAGCTACCAACTCGCCCATCTGTACCATTCCCAGCTCTGGTCGACTTGCAAATCCTCGCTTGCCATAATGGGGTTGAGGAAGTACACCGGATTCTTACCCATTTCCCGATCGAAAAACTCCAAAATCTTGAGGTTGAATTTGCTCGAGCCCATGATGCGCCCCCACATAACTTTATGGAGCCCCTATATGCTCTTATCGGCAACCGAGGGGTCGCCTTGCGTTCATTGAGCCTCGTTTTTGATGCAGAAAGGTGGGACTACATTCCCCCGGCTTGGGATATAGAAAATGGGGTATATGCGTTTGCGTCCTGGTCATTGTTATCTCACTTGTTCAATTGTCACGAACTCGAGTCAATCGTTATCAAATGCGCGGGGGTCTACCATGGTCTTATTTTATCTAGCGGCAATATCCGAACTATGGGCATGGCATGGCCTCGCCTGTCTAAACTTTGTATCTCCGAGACGCTCCTCAGCGTTGATGTCGTCAAGCAATCCACTCGACCGCGCCTCGTCGATATGCGGGGCCTCGCAGAGCTTGGTTTAGCTTTCCCTCTACTCAAGACTCTACATGTTACCCTGGATGTAGATCACGCATCCACCTTTGAAAATCTACCAACTAGTCATGAACGGCCCCATATTCTCCCACTTGATCTCGATTTGGGGTATTCACCACTGGTAGGAGATACAGCCGAGCATGTTTCTAGGTTTGGCCTTTATTATTACCAAATATATCAAGTCACTTACGTTCATACAGGCAACTATTGACAGTTTGGCCGGGCTTGCGATCCTTGCGGACCTACTGGAAGGAACACCGCCCTGTAGGGGTGCATGCAATTTACCTCAGAAAGTGGCGCGAGGTAATCCGCTGTTGCGGGCCGTCGGTCGCCGACGCACATAATACCAACAAATGTCATGATGGATTTGAAGAACAAGCTTGTAAGTTATATTGAATCTTGATATGGGCTGATTCTGACCTGGGTTTTAAAGATTGGCGAGCGATATGAATACCACGTTTTCAGCGCATACCCTCTAACCCTAATTGTTACGAATACTCGCTTTCAGAGTCGCTATGTGATTCAAGTAGTAAGGATGAAGTTTTGTATTATATCACAGTGAATACATGGTATGGTCTTATATTCTATACATGAAATGATGGATAGCAAAGAGTAGGCCATAGAAAATAGCACACGGGGGGTATCACAACGATCAATAATGTATTATCATGGACGCTGAGTCGACTTGTCGTTCTCCTGGGTTTCCGGCGAGTCTCGGATCTTCATCCATCGATCGGGCAACTATACGACAGATTGAGCGCCGCCAAGGGCTCCGTTATTGAATAGGCTCACCAAAGGAAAGTACTGCTCCATTGCAGCTCGGAATCGTTCCTTGTATAGCTTGGGCGTTACAATCGTAGGTCCTTCACCCTTGTTGGCACTCCCAAGAACCGTTTCTTTCATGAGGTTCTCGATCTTCTTGTCCCATGTATAGGTTCGGATGAAATCTACAAAACTTTGTTGGCGTCTTACCCGGAGCTCGAAAGGGACAACTTACCGACTATCCCAATAACCAGCTCATTCTTTGCATTGTCTACGCCAACAACCATAGAATAATCCATCACGTTGACAGCTGCCAGAAATTGGGTATCGTTCCAGATAGCAGTTCGAAGGATGCGTTTCGCATGCTCCCTCAGATAGTAAGGCTCGGTGTGGGAGGCTAAAAGACATTAGGCCTTGTTGGAGAGTAGATCTGCCAGGTATACACACCTTGAACAAGATTCTCGTCCAACAGAACTTCGTTCTCACGACCAGTTTTCTGCACGTTCCTACCGCGAGTCAACCCCTTCAAATCGTAAACCTATTGTAGAAGTATATCAAAAAGGGAACTTTGCGGACACAGGATGATGGGCTTACATGGGCAAACTTCCGATCGTACCAAAGATTCTCCATCACCAACAGATTCATTTTTACCGATTTGCCTGCCATCGGGTTCTTCAAACTGATTTGATAGAAACCGAAAAGCTTGGCCAAAATGCTGGGCCGCTATTTTTTTTTGGTGAGAACCAGGACCTGCAGTGGAAGTAGGGTACATACCCCTTCACTCAATGCACTAGACATGTAATCAAAGTACAGAGGTGCAAACTTTCCCATGCTATCAGCCTCTTGTCTGGAGAGCTCCTTGGCGATAAATCGTTCGTCTGGGTATGTATATCAGGGTTGTATCATGCACAGGACCGGGAGATTTTACCTCTGGTTTTGAGGAATGCAGATCCTGACTTCCCCCCAGATGCATCCCATTTTACACAGCGTGCAAGGGACTCGATCATGGTCTGATCGCAGCCACAACTCCGTCTCAAGGCTTGGAATTGCTCAGCATACAAGACCTTGCATGTAACAGTAACGTCGCCACTTTGGTAACCTTCAAATCAGTTAGCCTTGGTGGGTAATCCAGTAGATGTGAGGTCGCTTACTATAGGTCTGGTGTGATACACTTTGAGGGTGCTTCAAGACGTCCGCTGGGTCGGGTAGATCGTCGTGACTGATGATACCCCATGTCGAAGGTGCTTCACCAACCGAGAGATCATCTGGCATGAAGGCCTCCGGTTTCTCGGCGGGTTTGTTGTGCTTCGAGTTGAGCGCTCTTGACATGCTGATTTGGTAGTCGTGAGCACTTTGGGAGCTAATGTCAGCCTGCAGTCTGGGGAGATCATATGCAAACTAACCTAAGGGTGAGAGCGATGATGGAAGTGGGCTCATCTTCTCGGACTGTGATGTACGATTCAGCAAAGACATGATCCGTAGGAGCACTGTAGATTGTTAGTAAAGGGAACATCCATTGGGTAAACCACTTACGCTGGATACGCAAGATTCATAGTGGTGTACTCCCGGGTCGCCATCCGTGACATTGCCGCGGAGGACATCCGATACAAGAAGGACCGTCGGTCTGCACTGGCGCTCATCTCCGCTTCACTATAGTTCCCCTGCCCCAAGCTGGAGTCCCGAATAGGTCGAATGAGAGGCGATGAAGGTACGGATGATTCGGGCGTGAAGTCTGCTATATTCTGAGGATGTGTCTGTAGTTTCAGCTCATCGTGCTTCTCCCGATAGTTCGTATTGGCCGCGTCGGTTATCTTCTGATCTTGGGCTGAGATACCCGGTGCCGGTGCCGGGAGGGTCATGGAGTGTGCAGTGAGGTCGGAGACCGACAGGATGGGGTCTAGTGTGTCAACACGCAATTTATTGGGGTCTTCCTCGCCCTCGTCCTCATCGTCAGCCTCACTGGAAGAATCGCTACTCTCTGATTCGTCGTCCCGCAAGGCGTCCTTGTAGTTGTTGAAGATCTCTACTTTGGGCTTGGCAGTTACGACCGGGCGAGCGCGGCGACCACGAATAATTGCGTAGCGTCGACTTGCTTTTTCGCTTTCCTTGGACAGACGCTCGAATTGACGGACTTGAGAAGCTACTTTAGACCCAGTATTACCTGGCCCAGGTCCAGTGACACGTCGAGTGCCCTGCCTATTGGGGGTGGCTGCGCTAGCGTTCCTTACTGACGAGCGATCACGAGGTGGATTCCTCGCCGGAGTCTTCCCTTTGGCTAATTTGTTGAGATTCGGGGAAGCTTTGCGGGTACCAGTGAACGGTTCGAGCGCGGCGGCATTGATGTTCTTGATAGTAGAGCCCGTGGTAGTTCGAGAGA